CTAAGGATGTTCAATGCAAGCCATGGAAATGGCACATACTAAAATTCCATATTTAGGTTCCCATTCAGATCCAAATCTGCAGTGGGAGGCTATAGCTACAGTTATTTGTTATCTAAACAGCCTGAAATCCAGAAATATTTGCATCCCAGAATTAGCCTGCCCTCCCCAGTCATATTTCGCTTAACATTTTTGGTATATTTGAAGAAAATAAGGATTTGTTTTCATTTTGTGGACACCACTGATTTCTGTTAAATTACTCCTGACGTACAGCTCTGGAAGGAAAGAAACAAACCCCAAAATCCTAGAATACTAAGGTTACGAAAAGGGAATTTTAGGCTGGTATTTAAGCCAAAAAAAAAAAAAAAAAAAAAGAAAAAAGAGTGATTCAAGGTATACCTTTTGGGAATGGCTTAGTGTTTCAGCTTCCCATCTTCAGGAAACAGCTGCCTGGCTGCCTCCCAGGCTACCCACGCTAGCCTGCTTGGGAGCATGCACGCTGCGGGCTTGGCAAGGGTCACGCTGGCCCGGGGGTGTGGAGACACCACCAGCGCTCCTTCCTCAGCTTAGAGAAGCATCTAAAATTGATGGATGCAGATCTGCTTCACTAGGCTGTGCTCGGTTCCTAACTAACTCTTTCTTCCCATTGCAGTAAAAGAGCTGTGACGGAGCATCAGCTCATGCATGACAAAGGGAGGGCGTTTCAAGGGCTAAAGCGCCTGATGTGGCTCCACAATGCCCTAGGTAGTGTGCACACAGCCAGCAGCAGGGATATTTCGCTTTCAAATGACATGTGGGATTCGCAGAAGAGCCAAGATCCCTCAGATCTCTACAACAGCATCAGCACTGACGAGACTTCAAGCCTGATGAAGCAGCTGCTGGAACTGACGGAAAAAGAGCAGGGCTTCCCCCCGTTAAAGCAGCTGGATTTGCTGCAGTATGAGAAGACCCCAAAGGGTAACTGGAACCCACAAGACCTTTTCAACCTCCTTCAAATCAAAGAGCTGGGCAGCAAGAGAAATCCTAGCAGCCAGCCACAGAGCATTTCCCACTAGCCTCAATCCAGCTCAGTCCGTCCATTGCTTTAGATGTGTGAGGAAAAGCTCTAGCGCAAAGGTGAACCGCAAAAGAAAAACTATATCCATTTGTTCCGTTAACTACTCCTAGATGTTGAATAGAGACCCTTGTAAGGACCCAGTTCTCCCCACCCCACGCAGGCAGCCCATGTGCTGTGACTGTGAGATGGGGTCATTTGTCACCGGCCAGAAATCTCTCTCTGTCCCAGGGCCCTCCCTCCTATCTTAGGCAGCTCTTTGTAGCTCCTGTAGCCCACACGTAGCAGGAAGTTTGGATCATTAATCTGCATATTCACAGGCTCATTTGCAGTCTAATGGTTTGACTCATGAAGAAGCAGTTACGTCCTCATACAGATTCTCTTCTATTTCACACCTGCCTGCAGTTCTGCCCTGCTCTGCAGCAGGA